GCCCTCATGTTCAGTTTGACCCAGTGGCCCATTTACAGGTACATTTCTACAGTATCATGTTGGTAGGCAAAAACAAGTTATATGTATTGAAAACGAGGTTTGTGTTATTACAGATTTGATGGGTTTCATCCCACATGAGGAACCGCAATATAACCAGATATTACAATGGCCTTACAGTACATACAGGATGGTGCTTTGCAGCAGGAGTAGATTTTGAACACTGAATCTAGATTTGCACATGGAAACTAGGTTTTCACCTTTGTTACCCACAGATAAATATCTACACATATCAAGTAACCTGTTTCGTCCCCTTAAAGAAACGTGCTTCTGACATCTGCTGCATGTTTAACAGCTTATCTTAGCTTTAAAAACACAATGTACTGTACACCTCTACTTACAAGGCTTAGGCTTATCTGCTAAAAGTGTGCTGAGATGACTTTGTTCCCCTTAATCCACGCTTGGATCTGTAAAAGTGAGTCAGACAGCAGGGAAAGGGTGAAAATAGCCGCACAGGTCAGCACCTCGGACAGCTCCGCCCCTCGGCTCCTCATCAACAGATCTATTCTAGTCCTGCATGAATCCTCACCTCACTGCGACATCCACTCACTCACCCACCCGGGTAGCAGGCTTATCACGAACAGTATGGGGGTTTCAGTGTCCCTTGTGTGATGTGTAACCACGGAGTCAACCCCCGTGTCAGGGACAAGTGCGGACAAAATAACAGTGGCATGCATTTGTGAAATCCTCTAAACACCATACTGAAGTTGTGTAAAATAATGAGAGATATTAAGCCTACACGTGAGACGTCTTCAGTGTCGGCCCTTACATTCAAAACCACCGTCGTGTGATTTTGCAAAATGTTCATCTTAAGAAACAAAACACAACAACAACAACGCTAGTGTCTGTCCATGTCAGCGATCCAGGTTTGACTCGTTGGTGTCTCGCTGATTTTTGAGGTCCTGGAAGACCTCGGTGAAAAAGTGCGGGTCTGCATTCAGCTGCAGCATTTTGGCACTCATCCTGTTGATGATCCGGAGCGACGTTTCCCAGAAAACGTCCTTGTTAGACTCGATCATGAACGGTTTGAGTGGGTAGGAGATCTCGTTGCCCATGTAGGAATAGGCGAGGTAGAGGCAAGTCTGAAAGATGCCCTGCAGCTCGGTTGGGCTGTCGATGCTGTCCTCTATGGTGTCTTCGCACAATAGGTACACGAACACCAAGTTGGCCGGCGTGATGAAGCCTTGGTCCTGCCAGCCCTGCAGCAAGAGAGTCCGGTCAATGCTTCGGAACCAGAGGATCACCTCTCCATTGTTTAACTCTTTCAGTTTATAACACCTGCGGCACATAAAGTCCCCTAAGCAGCGCAGCAGCTCTCCTGTTGACGCCTGGATGACGATCCTCCTCGGTGACACCAGAGACAGGCTGCTGGGTTGTTTCTGGACGGAGGGAAGCCTCCCGCTTTGGACAACAGCCTCGCTGTTCTGCGTGGGGACCGTGGGCACCGGGACTGGGATGGGCGCTTTGGGCTTCTTCTCTTCGTTTTGGTCCGTTTTCCTGATGTTTTCGTTGTTGAGCTGAACCACCTGGCAGGACGGGAGTTCACGGGTGGGGAGCGGGTTCGGGGTCACTTTCTTGGCGCTCTTCTTGGCTGAATTGGCCACCAGCTTCTTCCAGGAGAGAGACACGAACATCGAGTGCCGCTTGAGGCTCTTGTCGTTTTTGAGTCCATCTCCTGCGATCTCGGCGTCCATAACAGACGCCTTCTTTGTCGCGGGAGATATAGAGAGGACGGTACCCATGACTGTAAAGGACAGAGCCGGTATGGATGCTGCAGCAACTTCAGCAGCAGAATCTTCTGCAGGGTGAGAGGCGGTGAAGAACAGTCACGACAACTGAAACTCCATTTACGCGTTTATTTCCTCCGTGTGATTGCTTTTTGGAGGCGCTGAACGAAGATGGAGCTGGCTTTTACAGTGAAATCGTATTCCAACAGATGCTCTACAAGCGCCTCAGCACAGACACGCTGCGACACAGTCCTACGGATGTAGCCAGAACGGAGATTAGTGGGATTTGAACGAACCAACAAGTGAAGCTCCTGACTGACAGCATAGACAGCCAATGAGAAAGCCAATCAATGATCCAATCACTAGGGATGTTGTTTTTAGGTCTATGTTGCCATTAATAGCCTATATGACCAGCACAGACGAGGTTCATGCGCTCTTCTCTCCATAGTGCAGCCTGCATTGGAATCTGTTATCTATACCTTTTTTCTGTAATCCTGTCAGCCTAAAGACAAGCAGCCAGCAGCCATGAATGATGAAATAGGGTGTTAGGTGTAGAGATTGTTTCATTTTCTCTTAGGACATGGTTTAGTTTATCTCAAACAGTTTAGTTAGATGAGAATAATAATTCTCTTTAACTCTTGCTTCACAGGGAGCACTACTTCAATATCTGCCCCATCCCCTATGTGTCACGACACTGTAGCGACTTTAAGCATGTTACAAATCACTATAGGTGCATGTAACTTTAAAAAACCCTTTTCTTTCATTATTACTCAGGTACATTCATTGTCCTGACCATAGGGAAAGGTGGTTGTTTCACGCAAACATAGTTTTGTTGGGTGTATGTATTAATTTCAATAAAAATAAATATTAGTCTTATACATTATTGCTCTGTTCTTAATTATGAGTCTGACACATTAAATATTTCAGCTAAGTCAAACAGAATTAACTCTTTTCTTTAATTATTACTTTGACACATTAAGTATTTATCCTAATCATAGAATAAATATTAGGCTCATGCATTTTTTCATTTCATTTTAATACATATAGAGTGGAATCTGAGGAAATGTTTATTTTCCAGAGTCATCGTTGTTTTCCAAACCTTCATACCATATATTATGTGACAGGCAGCCGTTATATGAATAACTAGTGGTTTACCTAAAACATTTTCTCTAGTCTTTGAACTTTTTTTTTTATATTTCAGTGTAGCAGTCTAATTGCATCAGGTGTCTTTTCTGTCTGTGTTTAAGAACATGGTGGATCGTTTTACATATTCTGTCTCAGACTTGGGTCTGGACCCACGACCCTGTTCCAGGGTTGTAATATCAAAGACTCCCTTTTTCCCTTCCAGCGGATGGAGCTATTTAAAACATACCAAATGTGGCTAGGTGGCAGTAATGTACTTGACAATATACATTTGCAGGCTGCAGAAGAAATGGATTGTGATTGTATCTCAGCCTTGTGAAAATATAAAAAGGCATCAAGACATCTACTATTAGCGAGATATATCTATATATCTATATAGATAGCTGTGCACTTATGTTACTTGAAATGCACTGTCCATCCATCCATTATTTATACCATTTAGATGGTCAAAGGGAGGCTGGAGCCAATCCCAGTTTACACTGGGACAAGAGGCAGCACACAAAAAAAATTAAGGAGACTCTCACAACATATTTGCACCTAATTGCAAAGACAGCAAGATATCTCGCAGAGATCAATTGCAAGCTGTCCTTTACTAGATTAGTGTAATGTAGAGTTTGGAAGTGATGCACTCTCGCATCTCTAGGAATTTTTCCCAGATGTGCAGCTTTCCCTCCATCCATCATCTTCCCAACTCATCATCACTGCCACCACAACAGACCATTCCTAGCAACACAGCTGTATTATAACAATAATCAAACTCATATAAGATGTTCATTACACCTGTTGAAACTGCCAACCAACAACAACTATGTCAAGAGACTGAAGAAGGAAGGTAATTCAAGCCCAACAAAGCAAATTAAAATAAAAGACATGATGTCCTAAAACTCCCCAGTGCTACCCATTTCATACAAACTCTTTTAATCAAGCCAACGTTTGATCCAGTGTGTCAATTATATGGTGTTCAAAAGACAGTCTTTCATCTCAAATCAAACACAGTGCTACAATATGCAACAGAAGATTAATTTCACTGCATTAAACATGAATAATCAACTTGTATTTTGAATGAAAAAAGTAAAAAAAAAAATTGGCGATGAGGGTGAATGCAACATTAGAATATAATCAATCAATATAATCAACAAGTTCTTACTGAGAACTTTTCATCAAACAATTGGCTATTTGGATATCGAGCAGTGTAATATTCACCTCCTTTTAGTACTGCTTTGGCATCTACCAAGCTCTGATAACAACACCTGGGTCTTTATGTTCCAGCCAGTTGTTAACCTTTGCTGACAGCCAGTGCATAGTGGGTTCATCAGATCTTTGTTGCTGACAAACAGCTACCTGCTGTGGCTGGATATCAACAGGAGGAGATCAGAGTCTGGGGACTGGTAAACCAAAATGATGGTTTAAAATAAACGCCAGGGACCGAACAGTAGTGTTCTCATAAGGGCAAAATTAACCTGCTGGATTTTTGAAGGGAGTTTGGTCACTTTCTATCAGCAAAAGAAACAAGGAGCTAATGAAGTGAAACAACATGCACTGTCATTGGTGCTGAAGACAATAATGAACAACAACAAAAAAGACTGAGGAATCTGAAACACTGACCTCAGCATCTAAACCTGTCTATCTTCCACCAATAAAATAGTCAGCTTCACATTTTCACTACAGATTTATTTCAGTTACAATTTTTATGAATTACGATTTCACACACAAAATGTCCTTAAGAAATATCTGATGTTTCATTAACAGCATTTTGATAATTGTTTACATTTTTATGCCACTGCACGGGCGACAGCCGATCAATTCTACATGGTGTCAACATGTACACTTGACAGTACAATTCAGTCTTATTTGTAAAGTGCCAAATTATAACAAAAGTCATCTTAGAACACTAGATAGTATGGTCTAGACTTTACTATTATCATTATAAAGAAAACCCCAACAAATCCCCCTTGAGCAAGCACCTGGCAATGGCGGGGAGGAAAAACTCCCTTTACTGGAAGAAACCTCCGACAGACCATGGCTCAGGGTGGATGGCCTCCTGTCTCGACCGGTTGGGGCGAGTGGATAGTTTTTATAGTCATCACCATCGTGGAAAACAAGGCAAACACACCCAAAGTTAATGTCCCAGAGCTTATTTAGTCATCTGAGTTGTCTGTCTCTGCCAGGCTTGCTCCCTCCCAAAAACCCTAAAACACACTCCAGGTTTGTAGGGGCAATTATGAAACCATAATTTTTTTGCTTTTCTTAATAAACTCAGTGTGTCTTTTCTCTGTCACACACACACACACACACACACACACACACCCCTGCACTTCCTCTTTTGTATGGATGTGTCTTACTTCCCTTTTCTCCATAATTCAGCATTTCCACTCTTTATGATTTAGATCCTAATGTACCTTTTTCAATACAATCCTTTCTCATTTTATTCTTACTCATTCACTAATGATTATTTCAAACACACATACACACATAAATCATCTTATGGTTATCCTTACTTACTAAATATCTTAACTTTCTACTTTGTGCATTTTGCCATAGCATTGTAATTATTTCTCTCCAGCTCCTCTTGCTGTTCCTTGTAAACATTCTTGCTGTTCATATGGGAATTCTAACTGAAGAAAGACAATTTGTTCAATAGTCTCCTGCAGCTCTTCTTGTAAAGTCATTTCTGATGCCAGATCATCAGAGGCCAGTTCTGCTGTTATGGCCTGTGTTTCTTGTGCTTTTTGCTTCTCTCTGGGACCCGTTTTTACAGGTTTGCCAACACCATGAAACTCTTTATGCACTTTTCTTGAGCTAATCTGAAGGCCACATGAAGTTTGGAGGTCTGTAGCTATTGACTCTGCAGAAAGTTGGCCACCTCTGTGCACTATGCATCTCAGCATCCGCTGACCCCGCTCTGTGATTTTACTTGGCCTACCACTTCGTGGCTGAGTTGCTGTCATTCCCAATTACTTCCACTTTGTTATAATACCACTAACAGTTGACTGTGGAATATTTAGTAGCGAGGAAATTTCACGACTGGACTTATTGCACAGGTGTCATCCTATCACGGTACCACGCTGGAGTTCACGACCCATTCTTTCACAAATGTTTGTAGAAGCAGTCTGCATGCCTACGTGTTTGATTATATACATCTGTAACCATGTAACTTATGTGTTTGACAGACAGTGAAGGTGTAACAGCCTCTGCTCCCTGTACAATTCCCAGTGGTCACCAGTGAACTGCTGAATACAGGCGGCGTGGCTGGTTTGCCCTGGCAGCTCCTGTGTATGCAGTACTGTGTCTCCACTTCCTGGGATTGCGGAGTATCCTCCAGTTCGTTCCTACGTAGTCAACTCGTGCTGGATCTGGATGTAGAAGGCCTGCAGCAACACATGTGAACATGTTTAAGGCCCTGCACTGAAATTACGAGATATGCCAATCAGGCATAACATTATGACCACCTGTCAATACTGATTACATAGGAGTCAATTGGGCAATTGATTGGCTCTTGTAACAGCCTGCAGCTCACTGTGCGTCTTCTGTTTCCAGAGTTATACTGTCATGAAGAGCACAGATGTGTCTACAATTCACCAAAAACTTGTGTAAAAGGAGTGAAAACTGTGGCCGTGAGGACGAGTTAGAGAGAATGCTTTAGACAAACTCAACAGCCTCAACACTCTAGGTGTGATATCACCACTACAGCCCCTGACTCTTTCTCTTCATAGAGACCAATGTACAGTAGTTCTCATTTTCAACCATTTTAGCTAATATTAAAATATATTTTAATCCTACCAGTGGCTGGACAAAGCTGGACTGAAAGACAGCACAGAGGCACTAATCCTGGCAGCACAGGAACAAGCTCTATGTACAAGATCAATAGAGACAGGGGTCTACCATACCAGGCAAGACCCCAGGTGCAGGCTGTGCAAAGATGCCCCTGAGACAATCCAGCACATAACAGCGGGGTGCAAGATGCTAGCAGGCGGAGAGCATACATGGAACGCCATAACCAAGTGGCTGGCATAGTGTACAGAAACATCTGTGCTGAGTACAAGCTGGAAGTCCCAAAGTCAAAATGGGATACACCTCCAAAGGTGGTTGAGAATGACCAAGCTAAGATCCTGTGGGACTTCCAGATACAAACTGACAAACTGGTAATGGAGGCTGTAGTGATAGATGTAGC